GACCATAAAGAAGGCTGATTGCCGAAGAATTGATGCTTTTGAATTATGGCGCTGGAGGAGACTCTTGAGAGTCCCATGGACTGCAAGAAGATCAAACCTATCCATTCTTAAGGAAATCAGCCCTGAGTGCTCACTGGAAGGACAGATCCTGAAGATGAGGCTCCAATACTTTGGCCCCCTCATGAGAAGAGAAGACTCCCTAGAAAAGACCCTGATGTTGGGAAAGATGGAGGGCACAAGGAGAAGGGGACGACAGAGGACAAGATGGTTGGACAGTGTTCTCAAAGCTACCAGCATGAGCTTGACCAAATTGCAGAAGGCAGTGGAAGACAGAAGTGCCTGGTGTGCTCTGGTCCATGGGGTCACGAAGAGTCGGACACGACTAAACGACTAAACAACAACAACAAATGTTGAAGATGTGGATTAAATAAGGCAGATTTCATACATATCTCTTGGAACTGTTCTTAAATAGAAATATTCTGGAAACTGGTTCAGGTTAATATCTCTGGCATGTTAGGATATCATATACCCTTGGAAGCTAAAATATCGCTGCTTGGTTTTCTAGAATAGGTTGTTTCGGAAAATAATCGAGAAATAGCTTTCAGCTATATAACGGCTGCTAAGATTATAATTATAAGGGACACGGGTGGCGCTGTGGGTAAAACCTCAGCGCCTAGGACTTGCCGATCGCATGGTCGGCGGTTCGAATCCCCGCGGCGGGGTGAGCTCCCGTCTTTCGGTCCCAGCTCCTGCCCACCTAGCAGTTCGAAAGCACCCTTAAGTGCAGGTAGATAAATAGGTAACGCTTTATAGCGGGAAGGTAAACGGCGTTTCCGTGTGCTGCTCTGGTGCCGGTTCGCCAGAGGAGCTTCGTCACGCTGGCCACGTGACCCCGAAGTGTCTGCGGACAGCGCTGGCTCCCAGCCTCTAGAGTGAGATGAGCGCACACCCCTAGAGTCTGTCAAGACTGACCTGTACGGGCAGGGGTACCTCTACCTTTACCTTTAAGATTATAATAGCTAAAAGGTGAGGGGAAATGATAACTCCTACCCTATCTGAATGGAATGAGAAAATTTGGTGCGTAGTAACAAGGATTAAGCTAACTTATTATAAAATAATAACATATCAACCAGCCTAACAGGTATATGGAAAAATGGGTATTGTTTTCAATGTTTTGAGCAAGTTCAACAATAATGTCCGACCTTACGCTGCTTTCAAGCTGCTCTAACAGTATCTCTTTATGCTCTTTATCTTTGGTTTATTTATAAGATAAAATGTATATAGCAGGGGTCTGCAACCTTTAAGACAAAAAGAGCCACTTGGACCCGTTTCCGAAGAAAAAACACACCTGGGAGCCGCAAAACCATTGCGACATTTAAAGCATGCGCGCCGCTGCCCTCCGATCTGACAGTGGGTGGGTAGGTGACGTCGGGACGGTGCGTGACTAACGCACGCACTGCCCCCATGCGATGTCACAGCCAGTACAGCGCCTGCCACAGTGGGGAGTGTCGGGGCGCACAATGCGCCTCCTCCCCTCGCTAGTATCCGCCCCGGAGCCGTGGCAAAGGTGTAAAAGAGCCGCATGCAGCTCCGGAGCCGCGGGTTGCAGACCCCTGGTATATAGTAAAAAATGAGGGTTGGATGAATTCACGGAGGAGTGGACTATGGGTGCTACTAGCCACAATGGCTGTGCTCTGCCTTCACAGCAATGCTCCTGAATACCAATTGCTGGCATTCTTATCACTATGGTTAAAAGGGAACCGTCATTCATCCTGCGTCAACCAGGTCACAGCGATGTCAACAGCTACCTTTGGAGGGTGACAGTAATTCAGCACTGGACTGTGGGCCTAAATTCAATCTGCCAGGCCCCTTTATATGGCTTTTAGAGGCCATTTCTAGGAAACTCCACCCTCTCACCAATCACGCGACATAATTTGATGTCACCTGTCAATCATTTTGATTGGCTGTCCAATTCCCATGGCCCTCAGGTTGAGACTCCATTTTACATATTTTATGCAAATTTTACTTATTTTATTTGCAGTTGGCCCTAAGGCTAAGGAGGAATTGAACGCAAACGTACAGAAGATGTACAGAAAATGAGTAAAAATATATAATTTCTTAGTTGTGCTTAGCTGAGCTTTTTTTTTTTTTTGCTTAGCTGCTTTACTTTCTCTTCAGTGGCCTTTAGCTCCACCCATTTTAGGTGTTGGCTCCGCCCATCACAAGAATGCGGCCCCTGCAAAGCTCTCCAGATTTGAATCTGGCCTTCGGGCTGAAAGTGGTTCCACACACCTGCGCCAATTGCTCTCTCCTTTCCTTCCATTTCTGTTTGCAAGAATCTGAAAAACAAATCTGTGACGTGCTGAAGGGACAAAGATACTTTGCAGATCCCTAGACATGTATTTGGACGTGATTCCTGGCGAATCAGTCTTCTCCATCTGTTTGCATTTCGACTCTTTTCTGCTGCTGCTGCTTCTTGCTGGTTGCCAAGATGTCGGGGTGCGTGTGAAACTAGGAACCAGTCCAAGCTTAATTAGCCTCTCCTTCCTGCCAGATTTAGTCAATGATGCCACTAAACAGGTCTTCCGAGGGAAGCAGAGAAATTCACACAGCCCTTCCAGTCACAAGAATTACTTGCCTCGCTCTTCCACTGTATCTTCTTAACACACATGTAGTCTTCATGCCTGGCGCTGCTGGAGAAATTTAAAGGGGTCTCTAGACTGGAAGCATCCCTCCCAGAAACCCCAAAGATGTAAGCTCCAGGTGAAATATTGAAATAAAAATACACAAAGGGGCAGCCTCAACAATAATGAGGAGGCTGCGAAGAACCACATCCGAAGCAATGGGTGTTTTTTTTACACACTTCCAGAATACATACGGGATTTCTATTCACCGATCGAGGGATTGCAGCAGTCTTCACATTTGCAACCCAATAGCACCGTCCTGAACCAATCAAATTCGTTTGACTCTTTAGACCAGCCCTCATCATCCTATCATGTGATTGCATATAATCGTTCCTCAGTGTCTTTCTTTATTAAGACTTTGATGAAATTTTCCTGTTCATTTCCTGGCCAATGTGTTTGTAACCAGCAGAGGGAGCAGACACACTGTGTTATGGGAATTGTCCAAAAAGGGTGGTTAGAACTAGTGCAATGCATCACTGAACTTCCAGAGTGCTTTCACCCATGGTTCCCTCTCACAACTTGCTTGTAGCCATCTCATCTATTGCCAGAACACCTGAAGAGGAAGACCATTTCTGAGAGGTGAGGCTGAGCATCTATATCCTGTCCCGTTCCTGTGAAGCCATTGCTACTGGATGATTGTTGTTGTTTAGTCTTTTAGTCATGTCCGACTCTTTGTAACCCCATGGACCAGAGCATGCCAGGCACTCCTGTCTTCCACTGCCTCCCGCAGTTTGGTCAAACTCATGCTGGTAGCTTCGAGAACACTGTCCAGCCATCTCGTCCTCTGTCGTCCCCTTCTCCTTGTGCCCTCCATCTTTCCCAACACCAGGGTCTTTTCCAGGAGTCTTCTCTTCTCATGAGGTGGCCAAAGTATTGGAGCCTCAGCTTCAGGATCTGTCCTTCTAGTGAGCACTCAGGGCTGATTCCTTCAGAATGGATAGGTTTGATCTTCTTGCAGTCCATCATTGCCTTGTCGTGGTGAAGGGGCTTGAATAACTCAGAGAAGCTATGAGCTTTGCCATGCAGGGTCACCCAAGATGGACAGGTCATAGTGGAGAGTTTTGACCAAACGTGATCCACCTGGAGCAGGAACTGGCAAGCCACTCCAGTATCCCTGCCAAGAAAACTCCATGGACAAAGACAAGAGGCATATAAAAGTTATGGCGCTGGAAGATGAGCCCCTCAGGTCGGAAGGCGTCCAACATGCTACTGAGGAAGAGCGAAGGACAAGTACAAGTAGATTCAGAGCTGATGAAGTGGCTGGGCCAAAGCTGAAAGATCGCACAGTTGCGGATATGCTTGGAAGCAAAAAGGAAAGTCCAATGCTGTAAAGAAAAATATTGCATAGGAACTGGATGATTAGAACTTTATAATGGATTCTGGAAATTCATGCAAAGTTGGGCTGTTCCAGCACTGGGCTGGAGTTTAGAGAATGCACAAATGATAACTATCTTTGCATTGAGTAAGCCACTAACATATGAATGAGTTTTTCTGTGTTGCCTTGGGCTTCTTTAATCATTGTCATCATCTCCAAGTTTTTTTAACCCCCCCCTCACTTAAACAACCGTAAAATATCAATGACTTCCCTTCCTCTCTTTCCATGGGTCATTCTGCACAACATAAATCCCTGCATATTTTATATAAACTAAACCATTCAGCATTCCATTATTACATCCATCAAAACTTATTCACACTGTTGAATTTATCTTAATGCTGCCCACATTTTCAAATAAACACAATTTTCCTCCATATATTCAATAAACATATTCCAATCTTCTTTAAACGTATGATGTTCTTCTTCTCTTACACTCTACATTAGGTCTGCAAGCTGCACATATTCCATCAATTTAAGTTGACAAACTTCTTTAGTTGGGACTTTAGTCTCTCCTTTTCCATTTTTGGGCTACCAAAACACGAGCTGCGGTAGTGGCAGACATAAATAACCTTCTCTGACACCTAGACCACCTCTCCAAGTTCTGAAAGGTGCATTATTGATGCATAAGATGGAAGTATCTGCTGACTTGAGGGAATCCTGAGGTTTACAAAATAACAAAGAAATCTTTTCTTTTCTTTTTAATGCCAGTAAGGAACTTCAAAACACGACCCGATGAGGGCAGTGTGGCCGGGGAATGCTAACTGGTACTGTTGGAGTAAAAATATATATAATCAGGGGTAGGAGAATAGAATGGAGGAGCTGCATCCCTGAAGATCATCGCCCCATACTGCAACATTTTGTTGCAGTTCCAACTCATTATGCATATAATAATCTTTATCCCTGTTAAAGAAGTTGTGTGTTTTTGCTCTCTCTCTTTGCAGTGAACAAATATGTGGTCAAAGTTTTTACAGGAGATCTAAGTGGCAGTGGAACAGATGCAGATGTTTTTATTAACCTTTTCGGCCAAAATGGAGACACAGGTAGGATATCGAAGAGGATCTGTTTCCTTTGGTCTGCAGCAAACCAAACAGATGAACAGTGAAATAATCCACACCCCTGAGATGTTATTCTGAGACAGGGGTGTTGCTGTTGGGGATATTCCTGGGAGCTAGCACGGTGGTTACATGCAAGCGTTTCTCAAACTTGGGTCTCCAGCTGTTGTTGGACTACAACTCCCATCATCCCTAGCTAGCAGCCCAGTGATGATGGGAGTTGTAGTCCCACAACAGCAGGCAACCCAAGTCTGAGAAACACTGGCACAGTGTTTGGACTGGGAGCAGAGGGACTTGGGTTCAGATTCCCACTCTGCCATAAAGCTCACTGGATAGATAATCACCATCTGTTAGCCTAGTATAACTTGCAGGGATGTTGTCTCTGTCAGCAGTTCAGCCTACACTCGAGTAGGACCCTGGCAGAGACACATGCCCGACTGGCATGTTCCTTCCCTCCTGGTCGATCGTTCGGAAGCTTCAAAAGCTGTCTTCAGCCCGAACATCACAGCAACTGATGCCAACCGACACCGGCACACTTAGGGATCCACAGAGTTTGCGCAGTTGCGTGACAGACCTCAGCAACTCAGCATTTTGGGTAATCTACTTTATTTACATATTAACACACACAGAGCACTGCAACATGGCTCCCTCTCTCTCTAGCATCAGGCAGCAAAGAGAAAGAACAAAGGACAATAGTCCCACTTCACGGAACACAGTAACACAAACATCCTGTCTCCGTCACTTCCCACTCTGTGGAGTCAAAACATATACCGTCATGTGAAAGACAACAATCCCATGACTGCAGTCATGGAGCAGGAATTCTAATAGTCTCAATATGTATTCTGTGTGTGAGAGAGAGAGCGAGAGAGAGCGCACTTTGCATGCCACCCTACGCTTCTTGGGCAGGGGAGGGGAACTTTAATCCTGTGGGCCAAATGCAGCCCTCCAAACCTCTCTGTCCGACCCTCAGGAATCCCTCAAATCACCCCCCTCTCCAGCCACACCCCATCTCCCAAGGGGATGCCTTCACCAGCTCTGCTTTGCGCTTCACTTGAGAGTTTTTGCCTGGCTGGAATATGCCCTTGAACTCTAGGTTTCCTGGATAGAAAGGTGTGTGCTTGTGTGTGCCCAGGAGCTCGCCTGCTGCATAAAGGTAAATTTGCATCCATTGCTCCTCCCACTTTTGCCTCTGGCCCCACCTACCACTGGCCTGTGGCCCCAGCAAGCCTGTGGCCCAGAAAGGAATGTGGGCCTCAGGTGGGAAGAAAAGTTATCTACCCGTCCTTGGAGGAAGGCTGGGATAAAAGGATAACAAACACAAAACTTTTCCGCCCACTCCCTGTTTCTCAGTTCCTGCTCTTCCCAGCGCTGCAATGCCTGTGAGGTGCTCAGAGCTGATTGATGCAACCAGATTGGCATGCAAAAAAAGTGAGTTGAGTACGCAGAGCCAAGTTTCGCTCATCACGAGGAGTGCAGCTGTCCTTCTGGAATTTTTCAGAAATTGTCCCCCCCCCTCCACTGCACGTTTCAGCCCTGTATTAAACAACTATCGAGGCAAATTACTTGGTCTCTCTCAACAGATTAAATGATTGTACTTGACTAAGCACGTACCTTTTAGCAGATTATTGATTAATGAATCTATCAATTAAATTTACATGCATTTTGCATATTTATTGGCGTACCTCAAGGCAGGCGCCTCTTTGAGATGCTGAAGAAATGTGTAGGATAATAAGAATAATAAGAATAAGAATAAGAAGTTTGTGGCTTAAGAAATGAAAGCTACTACTCACAATTAGGCTATCCCTGTTCATGCCCTGTAAGACACACCAGAACCAAAATAGCCCCCACTCTCAAAGTATGCAAATTATGCAGTTCATTTGCAGCTCCATTGATTTGCAATGTGCCCTTACAAGTTAAAGAATTGCCTTCCACCAACTGTAATTTTTAGTTGATGGAGTTTCTGTTTAAATAATGAGAGACTGCTTCTGCGTCCAAGCCCCCCCCCCCATAAGGGTGCCTTTCTGGTCAGCTGTGTAGGGTGGAGCTGAACTGCTCCTTTCTGGGGTGCCCAGCCTCCACAGTTATATTATTGCGGGTAAAGGTAAAGGGACCCCTGACCATTAGGTCCAGTCGTGACCGACTCTGGGGTTGCGGTGCTCATCTCGCTTTACTGGCCAAGGGAGCCGGCGTACAGCTTCTGGGTCATGTGGCCAGCATGACTAAGCCGCTTCTGGAGAACCAGAGCAGCACACAGAAACACCATTTACCTTCCCGCCGGAGTGGTACCTATTTATCTACTTGCACTTTGACGTGCTTTTGAACTGCTAGGTTGGCAGGAGCAGGGACCGAGCAACGGGAGCTCACCCCATTGCGGGGATTCGAACCGCTGACCTTCTGATCGGCAAGTCCTAGGCTCTGTGGTTTAACCCACAGCATCACCCACGTCCCGCCATTATTGCCTGTGCCCAAGTTTAAAAGGGGGAATGTTACTCTGTTAAATTGTAGAACTTGTTAACACAAGTTGGAAAGGATATAATTAAACAATATATCCTCTCCTGCCTCCCTGAACATTCCCACAGATTTGCATGCTCCTGTTGCGTTTGTGCCTGGCTCCAATGGCTAACCACATGCAAGGGCCTAGATTAGGCGCATGCCCCCGACCCTGAATCTCCCAGCTGAAATCTCTGACGCATGCATTCCTGCACGGAACAGTTCCTCATATATTTGCCTTTTCCTTTCCATTCCATTTACTTCTCAGGAGAGCGGAGGCTGGACAACGACAAGGACAATTTTGAGAAAGGTGCGGAAGACAAGTTCACCCTTGATGCTCCCAACCTGGGAAAGTTGAGGAAGATCACCATAGGCCACAACAACAAGGGAGGCTCTGCCGGGTGGTTCTTGTCTAAGGTTTGTGAAGATGAGCTGATTGTTCTCTAGGGACGTAGGAAGCTGCCTTATAGAAAGTCAGCCAGTAGGTCCATCTAGCTCAGGGGTCTGCAACCTTTAAGACGAAAAGAGCCACTTGGACCCGTTTCCGAAGAAAAAACAACTGGGAGCCGCAAAACTCGTCATTATAAAAATAACTTTTTTGTCACTTTTTTATTATTTCTTTGTTTGACCCCTCAGAATTACTCCTCCTCACAGAAATGAACGTTAAATTAACAAGTTCCCTTTTTGTGTGTGTGTGTTCTTCACTCCCCTTCAAAACAGTGACCAGCGTACATGCCCCTTACAATGTAGCGGGCGGGCGGGAAGGTGACGTCGGGACGGTGCGTGACTAACACATGCACCGCCCCCATGTGACGTCACAGCCAGTACAGCGCCCGCCACAGTGGGGAGTGTCGGGGCGCACAATGCGCCTACTCCCCTCGCTAGTATCCGCCCCGGAGCCGCGGCAAAGGTGTAAAAGAGCCACATGCGGCTCCGGAGCCGTGGGTTGCAGACCCCTGATCTAGCTCCTTACAGATTTACCGTATTTTTTGCTCTATTGGACGCACCGGACCACAAGACGCACCTAGTTTTTAGAGGGGGAAATCAAGGAAAAAAATAATTCCAAAGAGCAGTGGACAGGCTGCTTCTCGGGCTGCCGGGGGAAGCCCGGGTTCCTCCCCCCCAGCCCCAAAGAGCAAAGAAGCCAAGACAGCGAGTGGGATCCTCTTTAGCTGCGCGCAACTTCTCCAGCCGGGAGAGGCTGTGTGAGGCTATGGCAGAAGCCAAGGCAGCCAGCAGGATGGATCCCACTCACTGTCTTGGCTTCTTTAGCCGTGCACAGCCTCTCCGGCCATGAGAGGCTGCGCGGGGCTATGGCAATTCCCCCACCTCCCGCAAAAGCCCACAGGAGCTGCACACCCTTTAAGGAGCGTGCGGCTCCTGCGGGCTTTTCTATGAGGAAGGAGAAGGGACTGACTGCCTGTGTCAGTCCCTTCTCCCTCCTAGGGAAAAGCCTGCAAGAGCCACACGGAGCTTGTGTGTGGCTCTTGGGGGCTTTTCCTGCCTGCCTCCCCCCTGCATTCACTCCATAAGATGCACACACATCCCCCCTTACTTTTTAGGAGGGAAAAGGGGCGTCTTATGGAGCGAAAAATACGGTATATGGACTCGCAACAGTTCTCTGGGATCTCAGAAACAGGTCTTTTACAGAACTACCTGCAGGTGCCAGGGACTGAACCCGCCTTGACCACTAGCAGGGCTGCCACCCAATCCTCTGAGTCCCTCCACGGAAATCAACACACACTCTCTATTTTTGTAAGGAAGGTTGCAGTTCCCCCATTAGGCAAAAGCATGGTGCTTTTGTTGACAGGGCCTTTTCGGTGGTGGTTCCCCGCTTGTGGAACGCCCTCCCTAGCGAGGTGCACCTCTTTCCATCATGATTAACTTTCAGGGAGGGTCCCGAAACATTGTTGTTTACCCAGACATTTGGTGGCTGAAGAATACTAGCAGCTCCATCACCTACTTCTAAATGTTATGAATTGGAGTTGTCTTTAGAATGTTTTTGCTTTGCTATGGCTTTCCAGTTGGGAATCTATTCCCCCCCCCGAGGTGGGGGCTCTTTGCAGAGAATGGGTGGGGTACAAACTCAAGAAACAATAAATAAAGGGAAAGTATGGGCAGTGTAGGGACGCGGGTGGCGCTGTGGGTAAAAGCCTCAGCGCCTAGGGCTTGCCGATCGAAAGGTCGGCGGTTCGAATCCCCGCGGCGGGGTGCGCTCCTGTTGCTCGGTCCCAGCGCCTGCCAACCTAGCAGTTCGAAAGCACCCCCGGGTGCAAGTAGATAAATAGGGACCGCTTACTAGCGGGAAGGTAAATGGCATTCCGTGTGCGGCTCTGGCTCGCCAAAGCAGCGATGTCATGCTGGCCACGTGACCCGGAAGTGTCTCCGGACAGCGCTGGCCCCCGGCCTCTTGAGTGAGATGGGCGCACAACCCCAGAGTCTGTCAAGACTGGCCCGTACGGGCAGGGGTACCTTTACCTTTTTATGGGCAGTGTGTTTGTTCCCATGATTCCAGCTAAAAGTAGTTAGGTGTCCTTATTAAATGCTGTGTCTTTCTTGTACCCGTCTTCCTCTCCTTGTTCAAATGAGTCTCTGCTCCCGCCCTAGGTTATCATTGAGGACATAGGCAACAAATGTATTTACAACTTCCCATGCGGCCGCTGGTTTGCTCTGGATGAAGATGATGGGAAAATCCAGCGGGATATTCTAGTGGGAGGAACAGAGGCTACAGGTAAATGCATTTGCAGGTAAAAATACTCCTTTGGGCTTGGGCTAAATATCTATCATTCAGGAAAGGGGAACTAATGCAGCTTTTCTAAAAGGGAAGAAGCGCAGGAAAAACCACACCTTCCTTCCGTATCCACAACTGGGCATCTTCCTTGAAATGAACATTTCGGCCTGTGCTCTCTGCATCTCCCCATTTTATAAAAAAGTGGGGGATAATTTCCTGCCTACCCCTGAAACAAGGGCTTCTCCTCTACAACTAGGGAATATACCTGAAATATACTCGGAGTTGAGAGTGGATTTCATGCTCTTTTCAGCTCATAGTGGTGAAGAGGAATGGAAGTTCCCCCAGAATGTCTGCTTTATATACGTTATTTACACAATGGGCCCCACGTGATTGGCTAATTCCGGGATTCTCCTGTAGGCCAATCAGGTTGCGGATTCACTTCCACCTGGAGCTGGATTGGGTGGCTCCTGTGGACCAATCAGACTGCTGATTCTGGATCCTATTGTTCTAGGACCAATCTGACTGCTGCATTCTGAATCCTATTGTTCTAGGACCAATCAGACTGCAGCATTTTGGATCCTATTCAACTCAGTACATAACAATACCCTTCTATTACGTGGGGGGCAGCATAGAGGACTTCTGCCTTTAGGTGTGGGGTCCTTGACTATAGCTTTCTCACATTAGATCCACGCAGCATTGCGTATCACATCTTTTAAACATGGGGCCCATTGGGATTGGTGGGATGGAAAACAGGGAGGCCAACAGTAGGTGGCGCTAGAGCTAAATACAGGCAGAGCCATCTGATTTTAGTTCCCTCTCCATCCTCTTCCGTGTTGAGTTCTACAAGGGCAACACTAAGGAGGAAGAAGCAGACAGGATATAAGCAAGGCAGCAGGCAACTGAGGTCTGGCTAAAGGCTGACTGAGGTTGGTGGACCAGCTGCCATTGCATTGAAAGGCGGTATTTTGGAAACATGGGAGCTTAGGAGAATGATTTTCCTCTGTTAATTGATATAATTGATATATTCCCCCTTTAAAGCCTTCAAAATTTATGGCTTACAGACCTAAATATAGAATAAGAGAACAAGAAGAACATACTTTTAAAGAAGATTGGACTATGTTTATTGAATATATGGGGGGAAATTGTGCATATTTGAAAATATGAGCAGCGTTAAGATAAATTCAACTGTGTAAATAAGTTTTGATGGATGTAATCACGGAATACTGAATGGTTTAGTTTGTTTAAAATATGCAGGGATTTATGTTATGCAAAATGAACCATGGAAAGAGAGGAAGGGAAGTCATTGATATTTTAAGGTTGTTTAAGTGGATATTCTAAAATGTAAAACAGAAAATTTAATAAAAATTATGGGGGGGGGGGACCGAAAAATTTATGGCCACCAACTGCATCCTTGGGGAGCCGATTTCACAGTTCAGCTATGTACTGTGAGAAGAGCCAGTGTGGTGTAGTGGTTAGAGCATCGGACTAGGGCTTGGCAGAGACCAGGTTTCAAATCCCCACTTGGCCATCATGCTCACTGGGTGAACTTGGGGACCAGTCATTCACTCTCAGCCTAACAACCTTGAGCTCCCTGGAGAAAAAAGTGGGATATAAATGCCTAGCTGTCAACTTTCAGATTTGAAAATAAGGGATCAGCAATCTCAAAAATAAGGGATCAGCAGCCTCACCTGTCCTGGGGACAGTCTACGGGATATCTAACAATCCGGGATAGCAGTGGGAAGCAGCAGGAAATGTCGCTGGAATAAGGGAATTTCCCGCAAAAAAGGGAAGGTTGACAGCTATGTATAAATGCAATAAATAAATAAGAAATGAAATAAGCAAGAGGTGGTTCGTGACTTGTCTCAGGGCAGTGATGGAGCCTGGAGCACGAACGGCTCTGCTAGGTAAATTTGATTTCAGTGGTCCAGGCAGCCGGATCTGCAGGTTTGAAGCAGGAACAGCTGTTGGGGAGGGGCAAAGCCCTGGAGCTGGTCTACCACTGGCATTGCTGCCATATATTGGGGTGGTGAGGGTTAGGGCAGGGTGGCAGCAAGGTCAGGGTGCTAGTGAATGTAGCCATGCTGCTGCTGGGTGTGGGAGCCAGGTCAGTGTCTCCACACACCCCTGCTGGCTGTTCCTGTTTTGAAAGTTGTGTGGCGAGTTCCCGCCTGCACCCAGTGGAAATAAAGACACATGACACAATTATTTAAGGTTAATGGGCTAAATAAGGCCACAACTTTTATTGGTTACAGGTGATGAGCGGTGTTGGCTTAGGCATTGGTCCTAACCGACTATATCCAGCTTCAGCCCGTCCGCTTGAAGTCCAGGAAGGGTTAACCACCAGTCGGGGGAGTCCTGCTGATGCAAATCAACTAGGAACTCCCCCGGGGTCACCGCTCGGGGGCGTGCCTTAGGCCCTCACCTCCATAGGCTTTGGACAGGGCCACGCTCCCTGGAATCCTTTATTGGACTACCCTTCAATATTCAGGGCAGGTGATGGCGCTTCCTCCCCTCTTCCAACTGCATAACAATACCAATACCAATGCCTAACCGCCAAGACCAAGAAAGTTGTGACGATTTGCTACGAGGTAGGCGAAAACCAAGTGCCTGGTGCCAATTTGCCAAGTGGAAAAATTCCTACCAGGCCCCTCAGTGGTGACCAACCGAGGTCCATAGCAAGGTCAAGGAAGGAAAACCTTAAATGGCGGGAGGGTGGGAAACAGGAGCAGCTGGAGGCGGCAAAAGAGGGAGATCCCTGGCCGCGCCTGCATTAAATAGGGCAGGCCATGCCCCCGAGCCAGCCGATTGGCTGGCCAGGGGTTGACACGGCCGGGGATTCCCTCAATCGCACGGAGGCTGAGCTCCAGCCACCGCGTGCGTGGTGGGGGCGTGGCACCCGCAACACCACCTCCTTTGCAAGGTGGAAGTGGCTTTACAGAACAAGCTTCTGAATTAGAAAACCCACAAGGGCACCAAGCGAATGCCCTGGTATTTGCCATGGGAGTTGCTGAGGAGATTTCACCCCTCCCATATCCAAGAATCTCCTGATGAGTCTGCTGATTCTCCAGAGAGGAGGGGGCGGTTTCTGCTCTCTACTTATTCCGCTCCACACCACATCAAAGAGTCAGTCAGTCAGTGTGTCGGGGAGAGAGAGAGACTGAGTGTTAGAGATCATGTGTATGTGACGACTGTCTTCTTGTGGAAGTGAATCTGGTGCTCACAACTCTAAGCTGTGAGTCCACAGCACTTTGACCTGTTCCTGTGCAGTAGGTGGTCTCTGGAAGTGCTACCCAGCTCGCCTAGCCCATTCGGGGCTGAAGTGGATGAGTCCAGTTCGTGGCACTGGCTCAAGGGCGATGCTGACAGTTGCTGCTTCTGGCTTCCCAGTTACTGGGAAGGAAAATAAAAAATGCACCCAAGTCAAGGATGCTTTTGATGCTCATTTTGCAGCAGGTTTTAAGATTACGGAGGTACGTGGCCTCTTCTTTAACCCTGCAGCCACTGCCATAGATGCCCGGTGGCAGCCCTGTTTCAATTTCATAAGGAAACTGGCAAAATGGAGGAATTCTCGAGGTGACGGAGAGCAGGATTTTTCCTGCCATGTCAGAACCTGATAGGATCCGTACTCAACGCCGCCTTCTCGACATTTTGTCGTTAAGCTGAGAAGGCAAAGTTTGCTCTTGCAAAGATGCCTTGAGGACATCCATTCCCCAAAGTTTGCTGATGCTCTGAAGGCCACCCAGGGTTTCCTGCCCCCTGGGGAGAGGGGCAGGGGGTGGGGGGAACAGGCCATCAAAGAATATTCCAGGCCTCAAGGCATCTGGGCAAGCAGCGGGCATGCTGGGGGGGCGGGCAGGCGGCTGCTTTATCCAGGCTTCTTCTAGCGGAGTCACAGCCTCCGTCGTGTGAGGCACCCTTTCGGAATGGCTTAATTATTGATTTGAGCAACGGGTGGACAAGCTGTTGCTGGTGTGCTCCACACCCATCGGTTTTATGCTTTGGATTCTTGGCTGAGGGGGGAAATGAGCAAGCCGTATCTTCCTTCTCCAACTCGTGGGTGCCAATCCTGACCCTGCACCCTGCTTTTACCCACAATTGTCTGTCTGCAGAATGCCGCGGCGAGGCTCCTTATGGGGTCCTTTCCGCGGGATCACATTCATCCAGTGCTTTACCAACTGCACTGGCTCCTGGTGGAGTACAAGGTCGGGTTTAAGGTGCTGGTTTTGACCTTTAAAGTCCTATGCGGCCTAGGACCCATGTACCTACGGGACCGCCTCTCCTGGTATGCCCCGCGAAGGACCTTAAGGTCCACAAATGACAACACACTTTGGAGGTCCCAAGTCGCAATGTGGTTAGGTTGGTCTCAACCAGGGCCAGGGCCTTTTCAGTACTGGCCCCGACTTGGTGGAACCCTCTGTCACAAGAGACTAGGGCCCTGCGGGACCTGACGTCTTTCCGCAGGGCCTGCAAGACAGAGCTGTTCCGCCTGGCCTTTGGTTTGGACTCAGTCTGACCCTTATGTTTCCCTCCCCTTATGGTTTTGATCTATGGGCTATTATTAAAATGAGGCTGCTTTTTAAATTGTATTTTAACCTGTATTTTAAATTGTTTTTTCTTCTTCCCCTATTATGTTTTTATTGTAATTTTACTGGTGTCAGCTGCCCTGAGCCCAGCTCTGGCTGGGGAGGGCGAGGTATAAATAAAAATTTATTATTATTATTATTATTATTATTATTATTATTATTATTAGTAGTAGTAGTAGTAGTAGTAATGAGAGCTCCAGCAAAGAAATGCCTTCTCACCCTTTGAGAAAATAAGGGCTTAAGTGTCTTGGCAGAAGGCCACAATGGATATTAGAACTTTCCCACATGGCTTTATGTAGACTTGCTAGCATTGCTATTCTAAGCAGAAAAACGAATCTTCTCCTTCTCCTTCCTGTTCTTCCATCCAGCAAGGCAAAGGGCGGGTCCAATGGGATTCAGAATCAGAAGAGGTGAGGT